GCCGGTTAAAAACAAGTGATGACAATGTCGAACAAATCCGACAATTGTGCATCAGAAGCCCGAAAAAATTGATTGCCCAACAAAGTCTTCTGTTGAACCTACCTAAATCGAGACGTACATCAAATTAAAGGTCTCGAACTAAAAACAATGCCAGGGACCTCAAATGTACAACCGTGTCAAAAACAGCAGTCATTCAAAGATTTCATTGATTAGGGTGGAACCCTCTTAACTTATTTTTTTCAATTGTCAAACTTGCATTAACAAGTTTTATTAATATACCGTACTAGTTGCTCTGCTAGTGCTTCGCTACCGAGTGAGCAAGTAATAATTAGATTTTTTTAATCTACTATAAGAAGCCGATAAAACACACTTACCAGGAAACATATAGGCAAATCTCAATCATTCTTATTGATTAATACTAATACCGAAACCCTACCCAGGCTGACGCTAACCGAAATCTCCGGTCTGTGAGATCCCATTTGAAAATAATGTACCCCGCTTAGAAACACACAAACCGAAACCCTGGGCCTATGAGACCCTGCTTAAAAATGCACTAACGCTGGGTTTCTGAGACGGGCATGTTATGAACAGACAACCTGTCAAGGTCACGGCACCCACGAAAAAAGAACAAAAAATATAGGGTAGGGTAGTAAAATGTGGGAAGGTATTGCGGGAATAGAATCCCCCAAGTAAACTGTTTTGCCAACACGTGTTTTTGAAAATTCCCGTGGGCCTGTCAGACCGGGGTTTCGGTATAAGAGTTAATGAAGATCTCTTTATGTATTACCAGCATTTTATATACTACTAGCAGTTACCCGGCGTGCGTTGCTGCGTTTAACAACTATTTTTTTAAATGGTAATTTGTTCTTTACGATGAATAATAAAAGTGTATACCAAAAATAAAAATTGAATATTTTACTTAATTATAGTGTGTTTATTGCTAGTGGATAATCAATGTTTTTTGTTTTTTCATTAGGTGAATAAATATATAAGTTTTCAGGCGTATCTACCACCACGTGAGCATGCAACATACTACTGTCCGTGTGAAAAGCATGCATTTTCTAAATTTAAACCGATGATAGTCAGGGATTGCCCTAGTGCCTTATAATGGTGATTGCGAAAGTAAGACACAAAGGAAATTGTAGTTGCTTAAATTCTGAGGGTAATTTGGATGAAATCATCAGTATTCTTGGGATTAAGACTATTTCTCCTTTAAACTTACCACTGATAATTTTTAATTCAATAAATTTTGGTGTAATTTTTTTTAAATCGTCAGTAGCTTCGGTGGATTTAAGTTTCTCATTAGTATTATTGGAGTTCCTTATTTTAATGACAGTAATGAGGTGGGTTTATGACAAATTGAGAGGCATTTGAATACCCAAGATAGCACGCACGATTATAATTCACTTGATAATTTATGTTAGATTGTGTGGGTATAGAACAAAATATAAAAATATTAAGGCATTGCCATCCCTCTTATTGTTTATAATACTTTGATAAAGGTTTTTATGTTTACATATTTAAAATTGGAGAATTTAAACGTTGTTGAGTGCACAGGTGTGCTGCGATTGGGGTTTAATATATTTGGACTTGTTCAAAAGTAAAATAGTTTTCTGTGCTGCACTCTGTAGAAACATTTTGGCACTATTTAAAATCATGACTAATACATAATGTTGTGATTATTCAAACCTACAAAACAGTTGGTGAAAGTAAACATCTGCTTTTAAATTATATTTATTTGTAATCATTGTACTGCCGTGCTAAGCACAAAGGGGGTATCTGCAATTTTTGGCTATATTATTGAGATATTGATACCTACTAAAATAGCTTGATTTTACCTATCAGTTACTAAGGTATTTTAGCCGTAACAACAAATAATTTCCTTTAAAAAAGTACTTTTTAGTTAGTCGTATCTGCACGAATGACATGTTTTACTAGGTTATTTTAGCTGTAAGTGACATTCACTAAGCAATAAAAGTCGCATCTGCTGTAGATACGACTTATTCCCTTATTAATACGTACATACCACTTTTATATCTTAGTAAAGTAGCAGTTGCCACCTTTTTGCTTTAGTATGTTGGCAACATTCTCACATGTTTGCAAGAATTGTTTGTTAGTTAGGTAGCTTTTGTTCAGTATTTAAAAGGCCAGCTGACCTTATGTGTGAGAGAGAGAGAGCATATTAAAATGATCCCCACATGTCAACAACAATACAATAATAAAAATTTGAAAATGTAAACATTCTGGTTAAAAAAGTGCAATTTTTCTTTCTTGTAATATCGTTTCTTTGTGTAACATCGTTCATTTCTCTCTCCTTTTATTTTGACTTGTTTCATTTAACTTTTCCTTTTGTGTGCATTTAATAAACCCTTTTTAATTTGACTCTAAATTCTGTGTACTGTGAGAACATTTGGACATTCATTAAACATATCTTCTGGACTAGACAACATTCGACCAGATCTTCTTTCAAGACCTTAATAACGTCAAAGTGGTAATTCAGTGTTAAAAATTAAACCAAAAGTCCATAATTATTTTCTGTTGTCAAAATTAAATTAATAACCCATATACAGTCCACTTTTATTATTTTATAAAAAAGCCTTTTGAATACGCTACATCTTTAAGTTACTGATTAACCTAAAAACTTTGTTGTTGTTAGTTTTTTTTCAACAAAAATAGAACAATAAGCAAATATGATAAAATTTAAACACATTAGTTAGTCTTTATCCAACAATAAAGCTAACACAGGTTACGATCAGTCTCTTAAATATAAGTTTTAAGTACATAACTTTATGACTAAAAAGTGAAAAAATGCAATACGGTATTGAAGAATCTATTACATTCCAAAAAGGGTATTGTTCCGCTAAGCCGTTTCTCATTTTGGGAAAATATCCCAGTGATCTCAGATAAATCTGATAATTAATACAGACAATATTTGCTTTTGAGGTTTTTTAAAAACCATGACAATTACCGGTATTAATTACATTTGTTTCATTTTTCAGCCGGTCATCAATTTGTTAATAAGTTGATTTGATTTATGACTGTTTTTTACTTCAAAGCTTTATAATAAGTGTTTTTAAGAGGAAACTTTCCTTGTTTGCAGAATAATTGAGCCTAATAGAAGTTTTTTGTGCAAAAATGTTTACTATTATCTGTAAATAAATTGAGGGTATTGTTCCGCAAAGCCGTTTCTCATTTTGGGAAAATATCCCAGTGATCTCAGATAAATCTGATAATTAATACAGACAATATTTGCTTTTGAGGTTTTTTTTTAGTGCAATGAAAAACCATGACAATTACCGGTATTAATTACATTTGTTTCATTTTTAAGCCGGTCATCAATTTGTTAATAAGTTGATTTGATTTATGACTGTTTTTGACTTCTAAGCTTTATAATAAATAAGTGTTTTTAAGAGGGAACTTTCCTTGTTTGCAGAATAATTTAGCCTAATAGAAGTTTTTTGTGCAAAAATGTTTACTATTATCTGTAAATAAATTCTGGTTTTTATCAGCTGTTTTACTATTCCTAGGCTATTAATTGTTCCTGAAATAATTCTAATGATTTGGTCAAATTATCTAGACACTTTTAATTTTACAGTAATTATTTACCTATTTTGCCTGAAGGTCTTGTAGTTAACACTCGATGCGCATTTCGCCGCTCAGTGCGGCATCTTCATGGAGTATCTTCTTAAACACTACTGTTACTATGTTACTATGTACTATGTACTATGTACTATGTTACATAGTAACAGTAGTGTTTAAGAAGATACTCCATGAAGATGCCGCACTGAGCGGCGAAATGCGCATCGAGTGTTAATCGAGTGTTAACTACAAGACCTTCAGGCAAAATAGGTAAATACAGGTCTTGTCACTGGGTTCAAAAAACATTTTAATTTTAGTATTATGATCAGGACTTGGCAAATTATAATTTTATGAGTAGATAGTTCTACATACATTACTAAGCATTCCTAATTGTAAGTGTGTGCTACTTAATGTAATTTAGCCGTAACTGCCGCAGATACTACTTAATCAGCTTAGTAAGTTGTACATACGGCTATATAACTTAGTATTTTAGGATTAGTTAGTTGTTCCAGTTAGCCGTATCTGCCATAAAAATGTGTTAAATAGGCATTTTGAAATAAATTTAGTATTTTTAGACAAAGGAAAAAATTACAAATTCAGTAAATATGGCAATATTGATCCTAGGCCCATGGTTACCGAAATTAAGAGGTTTAGACTTGGAACCTCTTTTTCTCAAAATCAGCTCAGGTGCAGATACCCCCTTTGTGCTTAGTACGGCAGTGTAGTTCAAAAAGTCTGACATTGGTCCACTTAAAACCCTCTGGGGCGGAGCCCTTTTGACGGATCTGCACCAAACTTCACACAAACCATCCTTGAAAGATGCTTAATAATGCCTGAAAGTTTCATTACAATCTGTCAAGCGGTTTCGGAGTCCATAACGCATATACATACATACATAGTTACTCTTTTATAGATATAGATATTGAATTTAAAATATATGCAAAGGTCTAATTCATTAACCACATGGCACCAAGAAACAAATCTTCATATAAATAAATGTAATTAAATAGCAGAACAAAACATACCATTAATTTATATCACTTGGTTTTAATTTTACTTGCATTTGTTTTGTTAGTAAGCAAATCTAACTAAGATTCTTTCAAAATACCTGACATACACCTTTAAGACGGTCCCAGGGACAAACCCTGAAAGTGATCGCGAAATTAATAGTGTGTAAACCTACTCCATGAAATTTTACTTGTATGTACTAAGATTCATGGCCATCGGTCCAGCGGTGTCTGAGTTGATCACTCCCAAATATGCAAACCAACATTCTATTTTATATATCACTTAAATATATCTTGGCTAATTTAAATATATCTCATGTCCTCTTAATTTTTGAAATAAGTGGTTCACAAAATATATTCCCTGAAACTAATTTGGTTTGATCTGGTTTGTGGTTTAGGTGGTACAGTACTCACTTTTCCAGGGTATTTATAAACGACTTTTTCTACAATACTGTGATACTCGGAAGCATAAACATAAACTGCAACCAAAGATAGCAAGATGTGACGGCAGACCATCTTGACACTGGTCTATTCTAGAGTATCACAACACACTACACTGCAGAGTATTAATAACTGGAGTGGTGGATGTTGAATGGGCTCTGCTGGAAGTGGAGGGGGAATTGTACCTGCTGGAAACACACACACACACACACACACACCTGCTGACATCTGCTGCATTATATTTAAATCAACCTGTCAGTTGACCATCTGGCTCCGCGCCCTCCATTCACCTATCCCACTAGTCACAATGCTAATTGCCTTCTGCCTTTTGTGGTCAGTAACTGTTGTTTATTTGCACTTCTAACGGAGAGAAATCTGTCTCGGGTCAAGTCGGGTTTAATGTATAAGCATACATTGAAAATCTGTATATTTATTTTCATTTTGGATGAATTCAAATAATTTACTCCAAGCTACATTATGTATACAGAGTGTCTCACTTAAAGTGAACCAATAGCTAACTTTTTTATTATGAGATATAGAGTTAACTTCTTATGGGGCCCTCCCCTTTATTTTTTAGGATTTGTTTTGGGATGGTTTTTTAATTTATTTAACAAATTATATCTGCCTTTTTCCAATATGGCTGACAACTTAGTTATTTCTTATGGAACACTCTGTATTTTATGATTGTTTTAGAATGTAGATTATATTTAAAAACATTTTTATTCTTCACCTTTTTTCTTTAAAGCTACAGTACCTGTTTAGGAGTTGCTTTTTAAAATTCAAAACCATCCCAAAAAAATAAAGGGGTGCCCCATAAGAAGTTACCCTGTATATAGAAGGTAACAAATGATTCAATTTTTTGTTGTTATGTCAGCAATAATTAATTAGAACCAATAATTTTATTTATGACCAGTTGAAAAATTTGTTTATTTTGTTAATATTGAATTTTTTAATACTTGTAGTTTTGCTTTTTTGGTTCAAACACTAATCTAGTGAAAAATTAGTAAGTTGGATGAAAGTGTTTTGCAAACAACAATGCATATACAGTAACACAAATGGTTGTTCTTATTTTAGTCATAAGATTTGTACAGTGCTGACATACCAAAGTGTATACTTTGATACAAAGATGAATGAAAATTGAGGGTTCAATGAATAAGATAAACGCTTTATTACTGACTAAGATTGCTTGTCGCTTTATTTGATCAAAAGCTCAGTTGTCAAAAGACAACCAGGACTAGTTTTGAACCGCCAAAAAGATACTGGTTTTTCTCAGCTATCGTAGGCTCGGGTAACAGCTGGTAGCTAGATCTAGTCAGTTTTATGCCTCAAAGACTGCCAAACTTTAGTTGCCCTATGAATTGTAGCATGCTGACCTATGAGCTCCTCTTAAGGCAGATGTCTGCCCCTTTTTATAATTCCTAAAGTGTTTTCCCTTACCTCATTCAGGGCTGTGTAGTCATAAAGTTAATGATCTGCATTGTTCTCAGACTGCTCACATTTTCTGTCTCCATTGTGGATTATTAATCAATAAAGGTGCATTTTTAGGAAGCCATGACCTGTGATCTGTCTTGCCTGTCTGTTAAGAATCGTTGTAATTGGACTTAACTGTCTGAGATGAATTGGAGAGTGATAGTGACTTGCTTACCCTCTGATCTTGGAAGACTTGCCTGTTTCTTCCTGAGCCCATATGTTTGACTGACATGCATAACTACGAGATTCCACATAGGTCCAAATAAGGTCTGGGCTGAGGCTTCATTAGATGGCTTGTCAGTAATTTATTTTACCCCCATCCCTGAGTGTCCAATGACCATATTGCTCCTCTCTAGTGCTGATGCTGTTGTGTGTGACAGGCAATGAATGAGACCAAGATGTTGCTGAGACACAGCCTACTGATGGGATTGGAGACTACACTGGTGTCAGAGGCTCATCTATTGACCAAACACTGGGTGACAGCCGAGTGTCAGGCTAACTTCACCTCTGCCCTAGACAAGGGAGAGTACGTTCTGGCTGCACCTTCTACCAGCACCAGCACCAGTGGAGAGTCCTCAATCAAGGTTAGTGTTGTAGCTTACAATTAACTTGATTTACTTTGGGGTTTTTTCCTTTCCCAAGGCTAGCAAACAATTTTGAAAACTACCCAAACCGTGTGTCAAGAGCTTTTTCTCTAAATTGTTAGTTTGTAGAGCATAATGCTGTTTTAAGTAATTATTATAGTTATAGTTTTGCTTTTGTGCCTTTCTAAAATATTATTTACTATTTAAGGGAGCAGATATTAAACCATGCCTTAACATTTTTTTTAGTTATTGACACACCTTTATGCATATACATAAAGACACTGTTACTTTCGATCAATACATGCCTTCTCCTATTTCAAATCCATGTAAAAGATAGACGTTTCAATCAAAAAAATGTGTTTTCCCAGTAAGGCCTCTTTTACACAGTTTTTCCGCTGGGTTTTTAAGATGTCCCTGGGGGGATGCTAGTGCTGGTAATTTGGCCATCATCAGTCACACAAGACAAGAAAGAACCGGTTTATCGGTTTTGAACTATTTATGTGTGAAGAAAATAGACGGCGAGAAAGGAGGTGGGCTGTACACCCGGTGAATCAAAGTCGTAGGCTGGATGGAGCATGGAGCTTTTGCAAACTTATATTCCGAGGATTTAAACAAAAAAGTTTATACTCGCCATGTAAGTTTTTTTTCCAATTAGGTATATCACTTCTTTAGCTGTATCCTTGATATATTACAATGATCATCTGTTTACAATGGTTAGGCGATTTCGATACAGAGCACGGGGTGGGTTGGCAGTGCTGCATTCCGCCAGATGGAAAACGCCGTGGCATAAAAGGGTTCCATTTAATCCTATGTAAAAATTGCCCCAACAGAACTCCGAAACTCTGCGGAGCGTAAGTCCTCCGCCCGACCCGGACGGAACGCTGAAACGAGACGGAGATTCTGTCGTGCATAACAGGGTCCCATTTGATCCCATGTTAAAAAAACTCCCCGACAGAACGCCCAATGGATTCTGCCCGACGGAAAACGTGCATAAAAGAGACCTAAGGGTCTTCAGTCAAATAGTGATTTCTTCAGCTAACCAATCACAGCTGCACTTTATGATCATGTCACCAAGTTGACAGCTGCTGTGGTGTGTTACAGTAGTCATATGTAAGGCTGTCTTTGAGGTTATGGTTGTTTGTAAATTTTGTTTGATGGTTGAAATAAATCATGTTCTTACTTAAATATTAATAATGAAAGAAGTATTAGATGGTGTAGAGAGATGAAAATTCCAAGCCACGTAAAAGGATAAACACAGAATGAAGAGGAAAGAAAGAAAAGGATAGTGAGTAGTGACCAACCATGGGAAGGTATTAATCTGAAATGGCACAAATAGCCATTCTATTTATGTGAACCAAATATAGGCCAAATATTGACTTAGGATACTGCAAGTAGACAATTAAGCTTATTACAGGATTGATATGCTAGCTCCGCTCAATATTGCAAGCAAGTGATTTTACAATATTTGCAATATTTACATTACAAGTGCAGTAAGAGCGTTTTTACATCACACAGGTGAATGTTGTGCAACAAGCGGAAGCGAGTTGCATAATTCACCTAAGTGATGTAAACACGCTCTTGCGTAACGTGTACCGTACAAGATTTTACCTGACCCGACAATATACAGGGGGTTACGTACAATATTTTTCATTATCCATTTCACTCATCTTCTAACAGTAACGTTCTTTTACAAACAAAAGCTAGGTTAGGAAAATACTTTAAAGCATAACAATAACATTCAAGCGCACAGCTGATTTCTTGCGTTGAACGTCGTTGGCTCCATAGAGGTATATTTTTTAAGTTAAGCACACAATGTTATTTAAATAGGTTTCATTACCTCACCGAGTGAGTTTTTTTCAACTTTACATCACTCATGAAGTAAAGAAGTTGTATACATCACGCTTGGGATAGGGAAGTTTAACATGGCAGGTTAGGTAAAAAAATATTAATAGTCAAAGACAGATAACACACGATTGAAGTATATTATTCCACAGTTTTTACTACCACTATTTATAGGGCTGAGCCCACAATGCAAGAAATAAAGGACGTTTTAAAAACATTCAAAAATGGCAAAGCTCCTGGTGAAGATGCGATCCCAATAGAATTAATGAAAAATGGAACCGAAGAACTTTTCATCCATCTACACAAACTGATACTACAAGTATGGAAAAGCGAGAAAATGCCAAAAGAGTGGACTGAAGCAGTAATAGTCCCACTGCACAAAAAAGGGGACAAACTAGAATGCAAAAATTATAGAGGTATATCCCTTATAAATACAATATACAAAGTACTATCTAAACTTATCTTAAACAGACTCAAATGCCATGTAGAAGAAATAGTAGGAGACCACCAAGCAGGTTTTATGAAAGGGAGATCAACAACAGACCAAATATTTATTCTAAAACAAATAACTTCAAAGTATTGGGAATACAACAAAGATATATATGTAATGTTTGTTGATTTTAGCAAAGCTTACGACTCAATAAACAGACATAAACTCTGGAAGATGATGAAAAAGTATGGATTACCTAATAAAATAATTCAGTTGGCAAAAATGTGTTTAAATGAATCCAAAGGGAAAGTAAAAATAGGGAAAGAATATACAGATACATTTAATATAAATACCGGAGTGAGACAAGGTGATGGTCTATCACCATTATTATTCAATATAGCACTAGAAGAAGCTCTCAAGAAAACAAGAAATAGTGAAGGAGGGGCAAGACTTACTGATAAAATAAACCTTTTAGCATTCGCAGATGATGTAGCCATTGTAGCTGAAAACAAAAATAATCTCAAAGTGCTAACAGAAGTACTAATTAAAGAAGCAAGAAAAGTGGGTTTACAAATAAATGAAAACAAAACCAACTACATGAAAATAAGTAGGCAAGATGATGAGGAGGACCACTTAGAAGTATTAAACTATAGGTTCCAGAAAACTAGTATTTTTAAGTATTTGGGAGTGATGATCACAAACAATAATAGAGAAGAAATAGAAATTCAGAGCAGACTCACAGCAGCAGAAAGATCATACTGGAGTTTAATAAAATTATTCAAAAGCAAACTGCTATCAAAAACCACTAAAATAAGAATGTATAAAACTATAGTGCAACCTGTATTGCTATACGGGTCAGAAACTTGGTCTTTTACAAAAAAATCCCAGAAGCGCCTTATTACTTTTGAAAACAAAATTTTGAGAAGAATTTTTGGACCAGTAAAAGAAGGAAATGCATGGAGGATAAGGAAAAATAGAGAGTTAAAAGAATTATATGGTGAACCAGATATTGTGGGAATAGTTAAGAGTAGGAGGTTGAGATGGATGGGCCATATTAACCGTAGAAGTGAGAGAGAGATGGTAAAGATGGTACTCAGAGGTATACCAGAAGGAAGGAGACCATTAGGTAGACCTAGAATGCGATGGGTTGATGAGGTGACGAAGGACTTGAGAGGAATGGGAGCAGACTTGGAGCTGGCAGAGGATAGAAGAGCTTGGAGGCACATGGTTGGCGAGGCCAAAAACCACCTAGGTTTCCAATGGCCACAGGAGTAAGAGTAAGTAAGAGTAAGTATTTATAGGTTCACAACTCGGGTGACCTTGACAATCCCTTGTTTGTTCTTTTGACCAACATTAGGAGGTACTGTATGAAATGTACAAAAAAGTTGGTCCAAAATCACAACCAATAATATTTTGGTAAATTAAATAATTTGAATTGGGTTATGAGCTTATTCAGTAAGCAATAACCTTGGTTTGAACAATTCTGAGCTTTTAATGTAATTTTATCATGGATATTAACTGCATTTTGGAGATTCAGTTTACAGTGAGATTTTATGTTCCAGGATGGACCAAAGTAACCAGAGGAGACTGAATTGAAAGCTGTACATAAACTTAAGTGCATTTTAAGTGTTTTATTCTCTAACTAGTAAGGTATTTTTATAATCATAAGTAGTAAGTGTTTTGTTTTTATAAAATTTTATTGGTTATTGTTTAGAAGATCAACACTACTAAGTTAATAATTTTGGAGACTAGCTGTTTAAAATTTTTATAAAAAACATTAGGATGATCGCATTTTAATGTAATCGTAATGAGTAATTTTGTAGGGAGTTTAGTTTTAGGCTTATGATTCAAATCCTTTACAGGCTTTTCCACTTATTCAAGAAAACAAAATTTTATCCATTAATTAGGGAGTTTTAGCTTCCTAGCCCAAACTAACAATCACTTGATATAGGCTATTCTTATCCCTAATACTCATAAATTTAATCACAATTTGATGTTATAATAAATTTGACAAAAAAGGTAGGCCTACCTATTAAGTTATTGAGTCTGATGAATTTGCTATGTATTCAACTTAAACTTTACATACACCTAACTGCCTTTATCTTAACATTTGTTATTTTGAATCTTGCAGTGGCAATGGTAGCTTAAATTCTGTTATAAAATTGTTATGCTATAGATATATCAATGTTATAACTTTTCATGTTAACATTTTATTGGTTGTTACATCTTGACGTTTGATGTTGAAAATGGGAAGACGTTCTGTACAGGTTTTAGCTTGATACTGCTAACATTTAAAGTATTACTTTTTACATACAAATATATTCAATTCAAGGTTTCCATATTTTACAAAATATATACTGTATCTAATTTTGTAAATGAGGTATCGGGGGGGTTTTCAAGGCGGGATTAAAATTGAGTCTATTTAGTTTGATGAGTTTTGGTTTGTCACTTAAAATTTATAATGTTAGAAAGGGGTTTATTCTTTTTTAACAAATCTATTTCATTGGATAAACCTATGCATCATTCTGTTGTAGGCGAAAGAAACATATTTTTGCAGGCATCGGTTCTGTAATTTATTTATCATCAAGTAATCTGACTTGAAAGTAGCTAGCTAAGGATTCTTGGCGAGGATATTTCTAACTATTTCTACCGACGAATATTAAGGAGTAGCTTAACTGAAATGACCCATCTAACGTGGGACAAATGAACATCTTATCCTGGGAAATTGAATTAAAATAGTACAGCTGCATGGTTTCTAAACAGCCAGATTTTTTAAAGCAAATTAGATAAAACATACCAGAGTTTTTTTTTTCAGAAGTTTCGTTTGCTGTTCATCACAATGGCGTTTTGTTATGTTTTAACAATTTTAATAAAACACATTTATTATAATAACTTCAATTACAAATACCAATAATAAAACATAGCTAGGCAATACAATAATTTTTACAGAAATGTTTTCTTTCATTAACATTAGGTGAAATTAAGGAACTTAACAAAATCAAAAGGAACTTGCCTAGAAAGTCCTTATTCTATCAACATCAACAGATTTGAAAAAGTTAAAAATGTTATGTATGATTGTTTATACTAGTATTCAGTATTTCTACATTCAGATTTCATACATTGATTCCTGTACCTGGAAAATTTAAAAAATTGCATACACCTTTCTGTTTTGAATTGTTTTCTTTAGTTATTTTTTTACCTACAAAATTAATTTTTGGTCAGTTTTTGTGTGAATCAATGATTGTGCAATCATTTTTATGTTGTTAAGCTTTATATGTATTGTAAATTATTTCTAGCGAATCATTTGGAGTTTACAATTATTAGATTTTTGATGTAAAGACACTATCTTGTTCTAGAGTAATATATTTAAGATACTTATATATTCTTGTTTATTTCACCATCTTTTCTATAAGACAACTAGTTGTGATTTGTCTTCGTTGTTAGGATTAAATAATTTTTGGAACACTTTATTTTTAAAGAATAATTAATATTTTGGCATTACTTTATTTTTGAATTTGTGTAGACCACATTTCATTTGATGAAATTCTATCAATTAAAAATTATGACTATTTCGTTGCTTTTTTTGTGATAACCTGAACATTTTTTTTTAATTGATTATTTTATTTTCAATCTTTCTTTATGTAACTTGGCTTTATTTACACACTTTAATCGCAATTGTGTCAGCTGGTAGTTTTACACCTTTGTTGTTGTTGTAACATTTGTTGATGTTGCAAATTTTTGTAGGTCTCCATTTAGCACCATATATTTGGTTTGAAAAATGTTAATTTTTCATTACAAAAAATTGCCTTTTGCTGGTTTTTACAGACAGCACTACTAACAATTCTGTTGCTGTAACGTTGTCAGTGAATCTTTGTATGCAACACAAAATTGCATAGTTATACATTTTTTTTTAAAGAGAAAAGTTAAAGATCTTTGTGGTAGTTAACTCATAACATTTTCATTTAAACTTTTACATCAGTTACTTTTTTTATAGGAAGCTACACAAATATTTTTGTACAGTCCGCAAGAGTAATTGGATAGTTATTTAAACTGAAATGATAACAATTATTTTACCACTTTGTATCTATAGATATGTACATATTAATCAAAGATCATATGTAAAATAGTTCTCTAAAGTATTATATTTTAGAAGGATGATTTGTTAAGGCCTAGTTACGCACTGATTTGAGCAATACAGCCTGAATAATCAGACTTGTACCGTTTGATAAAGTTTTTGGACCAAATGTGGTATGTACATACAATATTCATATTAGAGATGCACATTATATTTACTGTTTTGGTTAGTAAAGTATATTATTTCACAATTTGTTTATTTCATTTATCCCTTCTAGCAATATAATTATATAATGTATCAACTAAACAGCAGTTTATAAAAAGACTAAAAAAGTAGCCTGTTTATAATTTACCCTCAAACCCTTTGATGAAATTGACTGTATATTTAGTATCCCTTTTTAACTGTACAAGACATGATGCGTTATCGCCAAATTATGTTTTATGGATTTAAAAGTTGCATTGCCATAGCCAAGCCTAAGGGTCACCTTGTAGCTTTGGTTAGCTTTCTCTCTTACCAGAAGAGTACCTGGCTTGAAATGGGTTTACATTTTTTATACTTTGTGCTTTTTGCTTATTAGCATAGGTGCTTGTTCGTATTTACAATTATCATTTAGTTAAATAGTAGCGCTGGTACATACAGGGTGTCCCGTAACTCTCTGGACATACGTATATAGCGTTATTCCTTAGGTCAAGACAAACACATTTCACCATAGGAACATGGGTCTGTGGTGTCTAGTTTACCGACTGTCGGTATTTATGTGTTTTTTACAAAAACATTAATAACTCCTAATTGGTTTGAGATACAGCTTTGATATTTTGCAAAAATGTTTATCTTATTAAGACCTTTTATTGTTAGAAATTATACTAAACAATCATTAACCGTTTCAAAATGGCGTTCATTTAAAATATTTGATGCCAAATTTCACGAAAACCGTTAACTTTACAAAAAAAGTGCAAGAAACAAAAACGTTTGTAAATGTTATGTAGTTTTCAATGATACCTTATTTGTTAAGATTAGATAAATAATAACAGAGAAACTAGTGGTTTTTGTAATGTATGACCACCTTTTTCCATTTAAACAATGCTAAATAACGTAAAAGGAGTATTAGCATTGTTTAAATGGAAAAAGGTGGTCATACATTACGAAAACAACTAGTTTCTCTGTTATTATTTATCCAATCTTAACAAATAAGGTATCATTGAAAACTACATAAAATTTACAAACTTTTTTGTCTCTTGCACTTTTTTTGTAAAGTTAGCGGTTTTCGTAAAATTTGGCATCAAATATTTTAAATGGCCGCCATTTTGAAACGGTTAATGATTTTTTAGTATGATTTCTAACGATAAAAGGTAATAATAAGATAGACATTTTTGTAAAATATCAAAGCTGTATCTCAAACCGTTTAGGAGTTATTCGTTTTTTTGTAAAAAACACATAAATACCGACAATCGGTAAACTAGACCCCACAGACCCATGTTCCTATGGTGAAATGTGTTTGTCTTGACCTAAGTTATAACGCTATATACATATGTCCAGAGAGTTACGAGACACCCTGTATAATAGGTAGTAAAACATTGTGCCCTAAGAGAAAGCTGTTTCAAGTGGTTTGAGCTTAAAATTAAAACCATCAGTTTACTATGATGAGGATTGTTAAAATGTTTCAAAAAAGTGTGAACCATACAATAAGGTTTATAAAATCTAAAAATACACACCTTGAGGATCTAGTTTCTTTCAAACTATAGAACTAAACAGAAACAGTTAACATGTTTCTATATGAAACAACTGTGAATTTGACCCCAAGGATTTAAGAAAACAATTCTATTCACAAATTGTTTTTTACTTACATAAAAAATATAATATAATACATATATACATGCTATTGTCCTAGTATAGGCCTAATGCATAACTATTTTTTTATTATACAGTGTAATAATAGTAAGGAGTCCACATGTTAGGAAAACTAACGTGTGAGGAAATTTGTCCTACAAGTAAAAATACACATAGGGTAATCCTTGTTGAAACATATGATTGCAAGGGCAGTTCTTGTTGTAAGTGTAACAGGTTAGTAGTCAGCAGCATTGCTGGCGAGGTAATCTCTGCGGCCAATGTTGGATGCTTGCTTGTTCTGGATAGCCTCCAGTTTTGGACAATCTGTGATCCTGTGTCCCAGACCACCGCAGTAGCTGCAGCCTCGTTCATCTGCAATGTCAAGAGCATTTTAAACTTAACAAGAGAAACACTACAAGTAAGACTTCCTTCCTTGATACAGTGGAAAATGCTTGGTTCAAGCTTAACTAGAAAACGTTTACTTTTGCTGAAAAAAACTGCCGAGATATAATAAACCCCTGAATGAACTGGATAATAGTTTCCATTACACTTGCGCTATCAAAAAGTTGACCTCAATTTTCAAACGCAATAAGTATCTAATTCAAAAAATTCTTTAGTCTAATATGTCACCAAACTTATCTACAGTAGGCCTAATTATAATTTTTGATGTTTAAATCTCTTTACTGGTTCCTTGGTGTTCTAATCATATAAATTTGAACGTAATACTATTGACTATTGGGATAGTCAAAGGAATAGTATATTTCATTACTAGGACCGAAAGCGGCATTTTCCGACGCGCGCTCAAGTTTCATGAGTGAGGCAAAGCCGAACACAGAAAAGCCAAATTTCACGTGTGAGGCAAAGCCGAGCAGGTGAGAGTTATTTTCACGTACAAGTCGAAGCCGAGGACGTGAATAATGGAGCAAGTGTAGGAAAAAAGCTTTTGGTACGAGTTATGAACGATACTTTTCATCACGACGCAAAAATACATACATTCAGAATAACTTATCTCAGTAGGATTTAAATAGTTTTAGACCACTCTTTATCATTGAAAATAACACTTTACAACTTACATGTATGGTTTCATAATTGTAGATTATTTAGATAAATAATGTATTAATAAATACTTCGTCACGTTAATTAACTTAACATTTTGTAATTTGTACCAGTGTCTAAGCTTTCTGTATTCCTCTTCTTATCCTTCCCATGACTTATACGGTGAAATGTGATAAGTTAAGCTGTTTTCGTCAAATTTTCAATAATTTTAGACATACTTTGAGCAATTCCAAACATGCATTATGTTAAAAACACAACAAAACAAACTAATGCCTGTTGTTTCTGTATAGATTTAGATTGAGCAACAATAAAAACAGCTGTTTCAAATCATTAAATTAAACCGCAACAAAACACTAGCGCGCGTAGTGAATAAATGGAGAACTAATTGAGAGCGAGGGAAAGTAAATTTAGAGCGAGGGAAAATCAGCTGATCGATTTTCCCTCGCCCTAAATTAGAGCTTGGGAAACGGCTACTTTCATTGATTTCAGCTGTTATCAAAAATAGTTACTTTCGTTACGGAGTGATGAAAATACTATTATGTCTTCAGGATTAAGTGTATCACATCACTAACATGTGCTGACGTTCACTTAGCGGTACTTGGGTCTTGAGGGGGTATCCAATAAAAATAAACGGAAATGACATAGTACTCACCTCCAAGTTCAAGGTATTTTTCATTCTCGCTTTGTAATTCAGCCAAGAACTGAGGTACTTTTTGTTTGGCCTCGATGAGAAGATGTTTTAGATCTAAGAGAACAGACTCATCATTGGCTTTGTTGATGAAAGTAGTGGCAATACCAGTACGTCCAGACCTTCCAGTACGACCAATACGATGCACTGGAATCATAAATATCTATATAGTATTTAACATAAAAAGGGACATTTAATTGGGCGATTAAGAGTTACAAATTTTCTTTAAAACTTTTAATCTGATTTTTATTATATCTACTCAGACAGACCTATCCAAGACAAGTAATGATAGTAAGTACTAATAAGTGACGGATGAGTCAGCATTACACAAAGTTAATATTCAAAAGTTAAAAGTTACACAATGATTTGCTAAATAATTGTTGATTGTAAGCATCATCGGAACTGTTAAATTGTAAAAACATTAACTTGGAGTCTAAATGATGGATGGAAATACAAATCTTATGGGCATCAGAAAAAGTTAAAATTTAATTTGTTATATCTAGTTTTCTTTTAATGTAATTACGTTAAAAGCAATGTTATGATAAAATAAAAGTAAAAGCTTTAATTGAAGTGATATTCGCTCTACTAAAGACATGAGATTGGTGAATCAAATCTCACAGTGACAATAACAAAAGGCACTTTGTGTGACCAATTTAAACTTAAAAGAATAACTGACATACAATGTGGGCATATCCTTACCATAGTTTTCCACATCATCAGGCATATCATAGTTGATGACATGTTGGACATCAGCGAAGTCGAGACCTTTAGAAGCGACATCAGTAGCCACCAAGACGTCTTTGCGGCCTGCACGGAATGCTTCTACACTACGCGACCGCTCTTCTTGATCTGTAAATATTAAATATTATAGATGTGACTTTAGAATGGCAAAAAGTATCACAAAAACATACTCTTCATGTGTGTGTATCCAATGGTGTAAGGTTTTAAAACTAATTTACTAACATAGTTAATAGATAAATGCTGTGAACTTGGAGAAAAATATTCATATGAAATTTCTATCCTGAGAAAAGGAAAAAGTTCTGTATAATTGAGTAAACATTTAAAATCCAAACGACTATCTACAAGTACAAGATAAAGTCAACAATCTGCGGACAAGACTAAATTAAAACGGCAAAACGGCTTTGGTGCAGTTTTATTTGCAGTGCATACTATAGAATACCAATTTCTAATCTTCACTGCTTGACACATGGTTTGGTCAAGATAAGTGATAGTACTGTTCACATTTTTTAATTTAAATCAACTAAATAAGAATTTTAAAAATCGTCCCAATGGGGTCCAAGCATGTTGTGAGTTATGGACAGTTAAATTTTAACACAGCTCTAACTGATTCAAATTTGAATTATTAAATTATGTATCATAGAATCATACATCAAGAAAAATAAAGATTACAATCCATTGCTAAATTTTTACTACCAGTATTAAATATCATATTGCTTTTATTTGATGAAAGTAAAATGTTTAGTCAAAATACTTTTTTACAATTTGTTTAAAGTTTTCAAAATAGAATCTTAAAATGATCCAACCTTTCCCTCCATGAATCGCCACTGCCTCCACCCCTTTCAACAGAAGGTACTCATGTATGGCATCAACGTCTTGTTTCTTCTCAGCAAATATGAGTACAGGCGGCTTTGTCTTCTGTAGACACTCTAGCAAGTAAACTATCTTGGCCTCCTGTTTCACATACTCCACTTCCTGCAAATAGTTAAAAACACCTATACATCAGGTCATGCAATTCAAGTAACACATAGCATAAGCAATTCAGCTGTATTTTATTATTCACGACCATTTAAAAGTTAAGTTATCTGTTTACCTGAATGACGTTCATGGAAGCAGCTCCCGCCCTTCCTACATTTATTGTGACAGGTTTCACCAAGGCAGAGCGAGCAAAGTTCTGAATCTTCTTTGGCATAGTGGCAGAAAACAGAAGAGTTTGTCTTTGTCCCTAACAACAAAAGAAATAAATTAAATACATCAATTTTATAGGAGTACATCAAACTTGCATGTATAAACATAAGAAACATTCCATGTTGTCTATTTTATGTTATTTCTACACAAATACAATGTCGCAGTATGAAATACTGTATTACATTTTCATACAGAACTTCAATTAAAATTACCATCTTATTTAAAGTGGCAAAAAGTAGTGAACTTTTCCTACTTTACAATTTAGCTCTTAACCCTTCCCGGACGGGGCGAAATCGTGGCATAGAACGGGAAAAAGTTATAGGAAAAAATAAAAATTAATTTTCGTTATTTGTGTTTTGTTTTACAAGTATACATAAAATAAACACAATGGAACACTTCATAGTGTCAAAATAATTTTTTACTCATTTTTAACTATGCGGATATATCCGCTACCCATCCGCGGATGAGTATAAAAACAGCGGATATATCCGCCACCCGTCTTTGAAGATATGACCATGACAACGTTAGGCAATAAATAAAGAACAATATGTAAACAATAAATAAAGACAACGTAGTGTAGAGTGCGAAACGACGAGGGGGAGCGTAGGAGAGGTGAGTGGTGCACGGGAGAGGGGTAGACGCGGGAGAGGGGAAGGCGCAGGTGAGAGGGGAGAGAGCGCAGCCATGGAGAGAGCAGGAAAGTGGCGCCTTGGTACGGCGAAACATCTGGTTACTGCTCAAGCACCTGCCAGTCTGTCTGTAAGAAGGCAGTTATGTCCGCTTCCCGTCCGGAACATCAAAATCCATAAGCGGATATATCCGCCACCCGTGGAATTGTCGTTTATCGCCAAAGACTTAGGCGGATATATCCGTCACCCGTCCGGGATGGGTTAAGTTTTGCAGTAGGTGAGTGCATGCAGAGTTTAATATGAAATATTACTGAGATATAAGGGCTATCCAGAAAATAGTTTATGCTTGTATACATTTTATACCGTCTAGAATGCCCTTGTATAACCAAGAACTTAAAATAAAGAAATAATTAGATTTGTTAAAATCTAACAAATTAGTTACCAAAGGCAGCAAGAATTCTGCCCCAATCATTACTAACCAACTACTAAGCAACTACAGAACTAAGCAACTATTGAATGTAATAATCTTAAATTAACAAAAATATATTATAAGGTCCTACCTTGAAAAATGAGAAAATAGTTCGCACGTCTTCCTCAAAACCCATGTCAATCATTCTGTCAGCTTCATCCATACAGAGATATCTAAGGAAAATATTAGGACTTTTAATGTGCATACCAAGCTGAGATGCTTCAAAGTTCAAACAATAATGTGTACATTATAATAATTCATTCTACGAGGGTCGATTTTTAAGTAACAGCTCTTTGTAACATATAGCTTCTTAGTTCGTGCAACTAGGCTCTTAACCACTTAATAGCACCGTTTATGAACAGAACAGCGCCATTTGCAGCTCTGTAGCTGACAGGTACACTTTGCTGTGTGCCTAGACAAATTTTTTAAATATTGTATCTCGTGCCGCATGCGAGATAAGGACACTGTTTATGGCCCTAATGCAATGATAGAGTGTAAAGTGCAGAAATGGTTTAGAGTTTTAAAATGTACACAGTCTTCTCACATGAGACCACAAAAGATAAAGGTGTTCACGGCTATTTTTATACTCCCTAACCCTTTTCCACACTCATTCACTGCATTAGAGCACAGAAAACATACTACTATAACCCAGAATGCCAACTGCATGGTAAAAAGCGTTAAGTACTTGGAGAGAGCTTTGCCTGTCAATTCGTAGGCAGCGCCACCAGCGTTGCTATAAGCTCTCTCCGAGTACTTAACGCTTTTTACCATGCGGTTGGCATTCTGGGTTATAGTAGTATGTTTTTTGTGATTAGAGCCATATAACCTGCAGTTATCTGGGGATGAATGTTGGCATCAGATATTTTTATTGTGGTCAAATACATACCGCTAACCTTATATTGAGTGCGAAAGGAGACTCAATATGTTTAACAATTTTTTAAACACAGCGAAGCATACGTGTCAGTTACAGAGCAGCAAATGGTGCCATTCTGTTCACCAATGATACTAGTAAGTGGCGAGCTGCCTCGTTGCTGTGTACACGGAAACTACGAAGCTATATAAGCAAATACTTAAAAAATTACCCACGTATAGTGTTCAGTTACTGTCAAAACTGTTCAGTTAGTTAAACTGTTTTCAGTTTGTTTAGTACTAACTACTTAGCCACATGACACACCATGGCCATACTAACAGCTTGATTATGAAATCCAAGGTAATAGTGAAACCAGCTGCAGTATCTCTTGAAGACCAATAAAGAAGGACTGTATGATTACTAAGTATCTTCATCTTTAAATTATTTTAAAATAATTAATGCTTATTGTCTCAAAACATATGTTAAAAACGTACTAATTCAAAGTTATTCTTGCATTTTAACAAGTAAAAATTCTTTTAGTAGCATAATGCTGATTCTTTTCTGTTGATACAAAGAAGTTTTTATTCAAGTAATTCTTTCTCTTCCAACATAGCTAGTTTTTTATTTAATATATTTTCCCCTTCATCTTAAAACTATTTAAAGAACAAAACGACACATACCTGCAGACGTCTAATCTGACCATTTTCTTATCCAACATATCCATCAGTCTGCCTGGAGTGGCCACCATCACATGCACTCCTCTGTAACAATAAAATATTACCAATGCCATTTGACTGAAGTGTTTTTTTTTGTTTTTTTTTTAAGGGTTCGCACTTTTTGAATCACATATATAGAATTAGCCCCATGTTAAATTTCCATAAGAAGAAAAGTTTAATTTACATTTTTGACCCAATTAACATTTAAATATTATCCAAATACAAATAAAACCTGCACATATTGGACCGATAACCTTTCTTTTAGTACAACCCACGTGTATATCGGTCCAGTACTGACTACAAATAGTTTGCTTTTAGGTATGATCAAAGAAAATGTTCCAAGTACCTGTTGATGATCTCTAAGGACTCGGACACAGGCACTCCACCAATAGCCAGACAGGCCCTGAGCTGTGGCATCCCATGTTGCCGCAGACTCTCACTGTAGTGGTTCACTATGTCGTACGTCTGCTTGGCCAGCTCTCGGGAGGGACAAATTATCAGCCCTATCAACAACATACGTTCTGTGTCAACAGGATAATATTAAACAATCAATTAAATTTTTTTTGTGTTGAAAAAGATTATTCATTCTATTACCAATCTTTGAGGGCACCCATGTCAGTCGCCTTTTATTATATAACCTAGTTTTTAATTGATATTGTGCTTATAGTTCATTATTGTTGCTTATTACAGTTGGAACTGGATAAAGTAACACACTCAGTAAACTGACACTGAAATCTCAGGATAGAACTAGAATTTTGTATGTGTTGTAACAGGAATCTCCCATTTTCCCAGTCTTGGATTCCAGCCTAGTTCAGCACCATTGACTGGTGCATAGAGAAAACATATTACTGTACTTTGCGGAATTATTTGAATGATAAACTTGAGTGCAAAGTAGCCTTAATTTACATAATATTGTTATAATTAATTTAATTTGGTACTTAACTATACATAAAATTATTTTATACAGTTTTAAGTAAGAGTTAATGAACAAAATGTTTATTTAGCTAAACTATTATATTTTTCAATCAATAAACATAGAATTTTTATACAGAACAAGGCAAAAACATCAATTGATCCCCTAATAAGTGCATTGGCTTATCTAAGCTTAGAGTAGGCCTAGTTTGATTTATGTACTATTTTGATAACCTGCCGTATTAAGAGATCCGATACTTCCTCCTGGTCCTGAAAGTGTTAGAATATAAAGAATAAAACTGTAGGCCAACTTACTTAATCATTATGTCGGATTTTGAATAAAATAATAAAGATATTAGCTACTACCTTTTTTCAGTAAGGATAATAAATGAAAAAATGGTTGTAGGACAAAAGACTCCTTTGATTACTGTACTCACCGTATGGTCCTTCATTGGCTATGAACGGTAGTCGGACTTCTTGTTCTATGCAGAACATGAGCAACGGCAAAACAAATACTAGGGTCTTGCCACTTCCTGTGAAAGCAATCCCAATCAAATCTCTCCCAGATAACCTAAACAGACAAGAAGAATGTAAGGTAAGAAGATGACATTTTCATAAAACTGTACACTCAACCAATGAATCCTGATTTGATAAACATTAAATCCCAATTACAATTGGGTGTATTTATTTAGACACAAAATATATAGTGGGGTTGTATAAAGTGGCAGAATATTTCAGTTCAGGCGGGGAACATGCAACTTGAGGTGGTTATAACAAACCTGCAGACTAAGTGAGTTTCCATTTGCCTGATTTGATTTTCAATTAAATCTATTTCAATTAGTGATAGGCGGATACAAGAAAATGTCGGTACTGGATCCGGATCCGGATCTTGAAAAAATCAGATCTGGATCTTCTGATCCAGATATAGATAAGTTTCTTTTTCTTTTTCCCCCAAGGACTGGTTTTAAAAATAACCCATATGGCTAGGCAATTTCACAGTGTTTGTTGACATCAAAAATTCATATGGCTAGGTAAGGTGACAATATATGTGGTTGTAAATAACACATATTGGTAGGCAATGTCACAGACTATCTGTGTCCATATACAAGACTATCTGTGTCCATAGACAAGACTGTCTGGGGACGGTTCCAAGGGGAGGCTAAATCACCCCCCTTGCGGCCAAAAAAGGCCTTTAAATATAAATTAAAACATACATTTCAAAATTTAAATGCAACATCAGGTTTTTAGACACAGTTATAGAAGTTTAAAATGGCTTTAAGAAGTCACCAAACGGCTTCAAAAATAGCAAATTTTCCGGGGAGGACCCCTAAACCCCCTCCTGTTTTGGGACACCCCCGTTAGCTCCCCCCTTGACATAGTCCAAGAACCGCCACTGAGTGTCTGTGTCCATGTACAGGACTATCTGTGTCCACATACAAGACTATCAGTGTCCATATACAAGACTGCTATTACTGCTAAGATTGCACGACCACCAAAAGGATATCTCTGTATATTTACTAATAAAAATATTAGGGGGGGTCTTGATTTTTGTTCACCCTGAACACAAGACTACCTGTATCCATATATAAGACTATTTTTGATGCGTGACTATCCATATCTATACATAGTTCTTGTATATGGACACAGATAGTCTTGTACATGGACACAGATTGGGTGTTCTGGTTATGACCATTCGACCACAACACAGAATGAAACTTAATAAGATGCTAACATTTCGGGCTTGTTACAGAGAAGCGTCATCAGAGCAGTTCACCGGAACAGTTAATTGTTATATATATTACTCGTTACTCAGTCCTCAGCCTGATAACTATTCATTCATTTATTTATTTAGCTCTACGGTTACGCCACTTTGCTGACTGCTCTGATGATGGCTGTATGTAACGAGCCCAAAATGTCAGCACTTAGCTAAGTTTCTTTCTGTGACGCTCACGGTACCCAGAACACCTCCTTCAAATGTTTGTAATGTTATTTTTAATGACAGTGGAAGCCATGACTAAGTGGAGTTTTTTCAAAAATTAGCTAAGATAGTTAAGCATTAGGACTTACAGATGGTTGCTTTAATCTAATTGGCTAAAATCTACCCTAGTTTTTTTACACTAATTAATTATAATATTACATAATGACCCAACTAACTCACACACTCACACTGTTGGGATGCCCTGGACTTGGATGGGTGTTGGTTTAGTGATGCCTCTGGCCTCCAGTCCTGCAATGATGCCACGTGGGAACTTCATCTCCTTGAAGGAGCGGCAAGGCGGAGGTACGTCTTCCCCCTCCACCAGGATACGCAGCTTGTGGCGCACTCGGTCGTGTCTGTGCGGCGGAAGGTTAAGTACACAGCGTGGGGGTCTCCAACTAACACAAAAGGTACGACGTAGACATAATCAGATTTTTCAAGGAGTGGTCTGGTATTAAAAAAAAAACACCATAACTGTTACTTTGATTGTATTAATATAAAACTAAAGTTAATAATCCCAAACTAGCCTAAAGATTAACAAGGCTCAAGAATATTATAGAATATTGATATCCACTGACCTGGTTTGGATAGGATCCTCATATTGGATGCCCTTGGCCAACTCAGCTACTCCCATGAGAGCTTTCTTCTCAGCAACACTTTCCAAGATTTTCTCCTCCTCCTTCAATTGTCTCTCCATCGCACTTTCTTTCTTGGCTGAAATTTAAGATAAATCCATTAGAAACTACATTAACCCTTGTAAGGTGTAGTCAGCGTAGGCCCTACTAGCACGTCAACCGAAGCTTATAAAATAACTTAACACTTTGTGCTTGGTTGGCCAGTTGTACTAACCACAGCTGTACTATTAAATTATTGAAACCATGTTGTTCTTTCAAATAAAGACATGAAATGTGCAACAACCTTTGGATTTTCAAACAAATTTCAGAAGCAAACTACATAATTAATTTTCAAACTACTGGAGACAGATTGTTTAATTTTTGTTTAAAGGGAGAATAAAATTGTCTACACTATCAAGACAAACAGTAAAAAAACCTCAAATATTTTAAGACTTGGGGATTCGTTCGACTAAAAGGGGTCAGATTATTTTTTTATTATTTCATATGGAACTACTTACAATGGAAAATATTTACAATAAACAGAGGGAAATGAACTATAATCAGCAACAGAGAATTCCCACCTGAATATTTACACAAAACTTACCCTCAGCCATCTTCTTGAGCTCTGTGTGCTGGTCAAGCAGACTGATGTTGGACTTCCGACCCCACACTTGTCCATCTTCCTCCTCATCATCATGTTCATTCTCACTCGAAGACTTACCCTTCCCGCTTGATTCTTCCTTTAGCTATAAAAATTTATAAAGTTTTATTTAAATAACTTCTTGACCAGCATTGTACGTGTTATTAAATTTACGGAAAGTAAATAAGAGAAACGTCTTATAACACTTAAAAGATATATTTACGCTTATACTGTTACTCACAAGACGGTAAATATAAAAAAAAGATGGTAAATGGTGATCGATTTTGATTGGAGTGTCCAATCGAAATCGATCACCACTTACCATCTTTTTTGTATATTTACCGTCTTGTGAGTAACAGTATAAGCGTAAATATATCTTTTAAGTGTTATAAGACGTTTCTCTTATTTACTTTCCGTAAAGTTTTATTTGTCAAAACAATTTGGATAACCCACTACTAAATGTTAAGTTTTGAAAAAAAAAGTTCAAGTTAAAATTGCCATATGTTTGTTTTCAAGATACAGTAATTAATATTTTGTATACCTACACAGGGTGTCCCTAAAGTAAGTAGGCCTACAACAAATTTCAGAATAGGTTTGAGTCAAAATAAAATGAAAATCAAGAACGTTTTTTTTTTTCAAAAACTCCTTGCTATCGAGATAGGTAGGCTAACCACAATTTAGGCTAGTTTGTTGTGTTTTAAATGTATATCTTAAACCCTAATAATCTATCTCTATTCCATTTGGTATACAATTTCAAAGAGTCGTAAGCTATTTCAGAAAAATAATTATTACAAAATATTTTTTTGTTTTAAAATTGGGAAAATTTTCCATTTTATAAGATTTACCTACTAAAAAATGTTACTAGGCCTAAAACTACTAGATTATCTATTATTTAGAATTATCTATCAAACAACACAAAGTTCAAAAAGATTGAAAAGTAAACAGCTGAGAGATTTCAATTTTCCGCAAAATCAGGCAAACCCTGACTGATTGGCTTTATTTTGCCTGGCCTGTACATGTAAAAATTGTGAGTTTTTTTGTTTTTTTTTTACTTGGTGTTGTTTGAACAGAAATTTTGTAGCATTTAGGTTGTGCTGCTGGCGATAGACTCCATGTCAGTTTTTTTTCAAATGCTTAATTTTAAGTTTCAATGTTTTTCAAAAGTGACAAATTTGGGGAGAAGACTTTTTATGTTTCTGTCGACCTGATGATGGGGTAATCCAACCCTAAATGTATGCTTAGTCAAATATACTAGAAAAAGGAATTGCCTTGACTAAATAACGTACGTACATAACATTGATTACTTATAATTCAGCAATTCTTGAGGCTACAAAAATGAATAAATCTTCAAAATCGTTTAGAAATAAATTGAAAAATTTTATGTTTTGGGGTAAAAAACTAGGAACTCAACTAGGCCTATTACCCCATAAAACCTCATTTCCATTTGGTCATGCTGGTTTGCAAATTGTTAGAATAAACATATTATGTGCATGTACATTTGTAGAAAATTTCATCAAAATCAGATGATTTTTACACGAGTTTTCATGCTAACCGACACACATATGAATTTAAACGGATAGCATTTATGGCCTCTGGGCCATAAAAAAAAAAAAATAATAAACTAGTCCAGGGTCTGTGTCTTTCCATGAGATCTACTTTAATAGCTAATTCTCTATATGAGCAATTGGATAAAATGAAAATGTATAATTTAGTAAAAAGATTAAAAACCACCCATAAAACTACCGTTGCAATTTTTGTAGGATGCGTTGCTTGATTTTTCTGCTAATGTTTTTTTTTAGCGAATTTCCCTATAGGGAAGTAGCTATTACCGTATTAGCGAATTTCCCTATAGGGAAGTAGCTATTACCGTAGGTCTCATGGTAAGACCTAAGCCCGGGACCGATTTACTTTTTCATTTTGATGTCCCCAGAGGCCAAAAACACCATTCGTTCAAATTTTTATATATCTATATATAGAGATATATATATATACAGGGTGTTGAAAATGTCTGGAACCAACATTATATCTCGTGAGTGGTTAAAGAAAAACAACTGATATTTTGTGTACGGATATACTATGGTTTTACCTATCTTTTAGTGCCTTATGAAAATTTTTACCACTTATAGGGAACGTCCTGTGGAGGATGCAGTAAAAAGTTTTAATGGAAGCCTATGGTAAATGATACATCATTTTAAAGGCCATTTTTTTCTGAGTAAGGAGCCACAAGTTTCATCTTAAAAGGACCACCCTAGCAAAAATGGCGACTGTTTGAAATTTAAAAAACCACTTATAGGGAACGGAATTTTTAAATTTCAAACAGTCGCCATTTTCGCTAGGGTGGTCCTTTTGAGATGAAACTTGTGGCTCCTTACTCAGAAAAAAATGGCCTTTAAAATGATGTATCATTTACCATAGGCTTTAATGAAAACTTTTTACTGCATCCTCCACAGAACGTTCCCTATAAGTGGTTATTTAAATTTCAAACAGTTGTCATTTTTGCTGGGGTGGTCCTTTTGAGATGAAACTTGTGGCTCCTTACTCAGAAAAAAATGGCCTTTAAAATGATGTATCATTTACCATAGGCTTCCATTTAAACTTATTACTGCATCCTCCACAGGACGTTCCCTATAAGTGGTAAAAATTTTCATAAGGCACCAAAAGATAGGTAAAACCATAGTATATCCGTACACAAAATATCATTTGTTTTTCTTTAACCCCTCACCAGATATAATGTTGGTTCCAGACATTTTCAACACCCTGTATATGTGTCCATCCGCACGATAACTTGAGTAATTTTTGTCCGATTTTGATAAAATTTGGTTTGAAGGTGTAAGGCGGGATAAACTTGAACGAGTTCGCGAACCAGCATGATCGGACTATGGGAATGGGGGTTTATGGGGGGTTTTATGGGGTAAAAATAGGTTTTTCCCATTTTTGACCCTAAAAACACAAAATTTCACAATTTCTTTTTGAACCATTTTGTAGAGCTTAAAAAAACAAATAATTTTGTATATTGAAGCATTATTATGCGCCTAATTGTTACGGATAAAATTCATAAAAATTGTAATTTTAAAATTCCCATGTTATTCTTATGGAGAATAAGTCAACTGTTGTAGTTTGCTTGTTTATGAACATATTTTGATAAAAGTTGGAAAATACATTAATTTCTTACTAAACCATAGTACCTTTTAATATTCTACATAAAAAAAAAACTGTTTTGCCCTCCCTGTTGCAGCAAACCTAAGTACTTATTAAACTAATTCTATTTAAATAGGGAATAAATGTTATATTTTTAAGGAGACATTTTAGTTTAAATCCAATCAGGTAAATGGAAATTCGCTAAGTCTGCAGGTTTGCTGCGGCGGGGTACATGTTTTAGTTTTGAAGACAATTTGAAACAATCACACCAGAGTGTTATATAAGTACGCCTATACTGAAAGGTTTATGTGTTTGTTTGGATAAACCTTTATGTTTTTTTCAAAACTAGTTGGTTAAGCTTATAGGTTGCTATTTGCAAGACTCAACCGTTGCTGCATATATTAGTAACAATGATAAATAAACTTATTGGTGTCATCTATTACTTTCTTAAATAGGTATTTAATAAATTATAAATTAAATCCACTGAATATAAGTTAAATTTTGTACCTTAGAACATTTTTGTCAAACTACTTTACCTGAGTTAGTCGACCCAGCTTCATAAATTGCTGTTGTTTTCTTTCTTTTACTGGCACATATGGAACGTAATTATCATCATCTGATGCTGAACTGGAGGATTCGTCATCACGTCTATAGCGCTGAAACACAATTCGCTTGTTATATTGACAAAAACAAACTCACACAAAGCCCAGCATTTTTACAAAGCAAGCTTCTTTATATGCAAACCCAAAAGAGTATGGAATAAAATATCTCTGCTTGATGCAAGACTCTCTTAAGTGTCTATAGGTTAGGATACACTAACTTAGATCAATATTTAGTTAACTTGGCTTGCCTTCAAAAGTCAGTGTTATAAAATCAGCTATACAACCTCTGGTTAAACCCTTGGCACTTGTTATAAATTCAAGCTTTATATCAGGAATATTTCCACAAAAACTTCTAAAGCTATTCTGGTTTTTTAAAAAGGAGACTTGAAAGAAATAAACAATTATCAACCAATATCTGTACAACCAACATTTTCAAAAATATTTTTGAAATGTATGTACACGCTTACATTTTTTTTATAAAAGCATAGAGGAAGAACAACATGTGTTTAGGCAGGGAAGATCAGGAATAACAGATGCTACAAATTTCATTGAAAATGTAATAGAAGACCTTTATAAAAATAAAAAGTAATTGATAAACTCATTGCCTTAACAAAAGCTTTTTACATGGTTTATCATGTTAAACCTATAAAGGAACTGTACAACTTGGAATTGATGGATTAGGCCTACCCTTAAAAATGATTAGAATAATTTATTAGGGGAAGAAAGCAATATGTATAAGTGACATGTTGAGAATGGTACTATTTCAAAATTGTAGATCCAGATTAGAGGAGGTAAATTACTCAGTACCTCAGGGCTCTGTACTTGGTCCTCTTCTGTTTATTTGTTATTTTTGTGGGCTTAGTGCAAAACTTCACGAAATAAACAATAATAATCAACTCATCTTGTATGCAGATGACTCAACTCTACAACACTCAACCGAACAAAACTTTTTAACACTAAATCACTGTTCAGAAAAAACTTTTAAAAGTCACAATTAAATTCCTAAAAAGAAAAAATTTACTTTTGAATGCCAGTAAAACAAACTATTTGATTTTTAATTTGAAAAACTCTCACATAAATGAAATCAATGAATCAATAGACGATGATAACATTTTGCAAAGGAAAAATAGCTCAACATTTTTAGGATTTATAATAGATGATCAATTAACATGGAATAAACACGTAGATCATGTTTGTAGTAGGATAAGCTCTGGGGTTCATGCAATTCGTAAAATGTCCTTTTATTGTGAGCTGAGCACTTTGCTTCTCCTCTACTATGCACATGTACACTCTCGCATTCAATTTGGATTATTACTATATGGAGGAACATCACAAAATAACCTTACTACAGTACGGTCCACGAGAGTCTGCAGTTGAGGGATGAGCCTATTTACCACGTGACTTTGAAGGAGCCAATGAGGACAGTGCAATGCTGCCAAATCTAATAATACCAGCTGGTTTGAAAATATTGTTTAGTATATTTTAATTAGTGTCGAAAAGTAGTGAACGGGTGATGTTGCAACGTCACGCTAGTCCAGTCTTGGTATTGGCTGGCAGACTCTCGTGGCCCCAACAGTAGTATAAAATTTTAGTCTTACAGAAGAAGGCAATTAAAACTTCCAATACTCATTGCATTGATACATTTAAAGAATTAAGAATATTTACAGTGGTAAATCTTTATATCTTTCAAACAATAATGTATGTAAAAAACAATGAAGAGGACCAATTAAAATTAGAAAATGTGCACTGCTATGACACAAGAAATAAAAACGATTTTGTACTTAATCAACACAGAACTAGTCTATATTGAAAACAACCTGCATATGCTGGGGAGAATACAATTTTACAACAACTTACCACATAAAATTAAAATTTTAACAGATCCTAAAAAGAACATTAAACAACTTCCTTCTAGACCATCCAGTATACCGGTAGGCCTATTCTATAATCATGCTTTTCAGACTCTTTCAAGATAACTTAACATAGTCAATTTGGAAATCATTCTCAGACATATCACTGACTTGATTAAATCTAAACTGATGGGGTTAAAGGGGAAAAAACCCAAATATTTTATATATTATTTGGTTACTAACTTAGATACAGTAGAACCTCGATAGTTCGACACTTTGTGGACTTAGGGGATGTCTAACTATCGAAATGTCGAACTATAGGGAGTAAATGGAGTTTAATATACAGGAAAGTAAAAACCTAAGTCTTATATAGCCTATAGAAATCACACAAATTTATTAAATACTAAAAAGCTTCACAATTTAATTGTTGATTAGTTAAGTCTCAAGTCAACAATAAGTAAATGACCAATTAATTTATAAGTCAGCTCATATCACAATAGTAACCATTAAATATCACTTGTAAAATAGCTCAGCTCGTGTCGAACTACAAGGAGTGTCGAGCCATCGAAGGTTTACTGTTGTCAGATAACTTGTTCTATTTTTTCTAGATAATATTTTGTGATTTTGTTTACTCTTGGATTGTATTAAGTAATTATTTATACTAGTGTACCGGTTGCTAGAATTCGAGCAATTGCTAAGTATTACAGGCGTTATTTTAAAACGAATAACAGTCATAATTTCTGATGACTTTAAAAGATTCAACTCAAAGATTATGGAAATACTCAAGATGTACATAAACAGATCGATATAATCAACATTTCTTATAAATATCTTATCATTTTTCAAAAGCTGGTCTTGTTTTTAGTGTTTTCTACAAATAGCCTTACTCATAGCCGCATTAGGTTGTCTATGATAACGATTGTAATTTTAAAAAAAATATATATATATATATTTCTTCTCCTTGGTGGTGTTCTATGACTTTCCTATGTTTCTATAGTTTGCAAATCGGCTCTTTCAATTACTAAGAAATTCAGCACAGTGTTTATTCAGTTTTCTTTTTAGTATATAAAATTATCCGGGCTCTCTCGCTTTTTTCTACATTGTAATATTTACGTCAACCCAAATTCAAATGGTAAATATTTAATTTCAACCAAGTCAGTAAATGTTTGTATTAGCAAACTAATTGACTTTTTACAATCAACATAATATGTTCTTCTTCTCACTTTTAATTTCTGACAACAGCTGGAGTTTCATAACAATTTTTGTTTCCCATGTTATTCTTATGGAGAAATACGAAACTTTAATGGGCCCCAGGGCCTCACTCTCTAATTATTTCCCTAAAAAGAAAGTTTCCTGCACAACTTCACGTTACGCTCTTTCCAATGACACCAAAAACATGTCAATCGCTTCAGTAGTTTGAGAGGAGTAATTGTCACAAAAAACCTGCTTGCGTATTAAATTTAAGTATAATAATAATAGATAGTTTATACTGAGTACCTAGTATAAATTCATGTTTAGTTTTAGTCATTAAGTTAGGTAGTCTTGATGCCATTCATGTAGGCCTACAAAAAAATGTAGGGTATATTGAATAAAATTAAATTGAATCTTGAACCCAGCCAATTTAACATTGGGGTAGGTCTATAATTTTGTTGTGCTGCTAAACAAATGAAAATAAATAATCAGACAAGGGTTTGGATGGTTCTTTTATAAGAAATAAACATAAAACAAATTAGTTAATCACTTGTCCTGTTAACTTCTACCTGAGACATCTACTGAATACGTTAGGCAGGCTCTCCCTCTGTTAAAAATTTGTCAACTTTTCATAGTTTTAGTCGTGAACATTGCGTGTTTTGCTAGCCTAATAGTTAGCGTCTCGGGCTTCGGTGCGGGAGAGACCGGTTCAATTCCCGGCAGTACGGCACATCCACAAATCTTAACACTAATACCAAAACCCTACCTAGGCTGACGTTAACCGAAACCCCCGGTCTGTGAGACCCCATTTGAAAAATAATGGACCCCACTTAGATACACACAAACCGAAACCCTCGGCCTGTGAGACCCCGCTTTAAAATACACTAACGCTGGGCGTCTGAGACGGGCATGTTATGAACAGACATCCTGTCAAGGTCACGGCACCCATGAGAAATTAACAAACAGTAAATCAATAGGTAGGGGAGGAAAAGGGGGGAAGGTATTGGGGGAATGGAATCTCCCAAGTAAACAGTGTTGCCATAATGCGTTTGAGAAAATTCCCGTGGGCTTGTCAGACCGGGGTTTTGGTATTAGTGTTAATGGGTTTGAACTGCACTCCCCCTTAAAGTGTTTGAATTGACTTACATTAACTAAACAAATTCCACTGGCATAGACACAAGTAAGTTAACAAAACCTCAGAACCAATTGACTACCGGTAACCTAAAAAAGTAACTTAGGCTTATTAAGATATTAAAATAATGAATAACTTAGGCCTACCTATTTTGCACTTTTTCGGGGTACAGTTTCTTAACTGGGCTATGCTAATATTGATTGAAACTATCAAATTGAAAATATTGATTAATAATCAATATTTTTAAATATATCTATTATAAAATAAAACTATCATAACCTAACCTAACCAACCAAACTTGCTGATGGTGAAAAATCGCATGAAGGTTTACTAATCGAATCGATAGTTTCAATCAATATTAGCATAGCCCAGTTAAGAAACTGTACCCCTTTTATGGTGGTTTTAATACCATTAGCAACACTAATTACTATTTCTAAGAGTAAAGTGGGATGAAACCCAGAGTTATTTATCAATTAAACCAGTATCTTTAGCAGGTATGAGTTTTGATTAACTTTCCAGCAATAATAGGCCTAGGCACCAGGTAAGTTAATTAGGCCCTACTACCAAAGTGGTTAAAATATTATAGTCTTTGAGAGTGTATCTAAAATTCTTGACCTACCTTTTTCGGAGGTTCAGGTATATTGAGAATTGCCTCTTTTGGTTCAGAGTTTTCTTCACTCATTTTGAAAAGGCTGACTTAAGTTTACTGGATATGCAGGCCTTCTACCTAACCAAATGCAAGTTTATCAGTTTGTTGAATCCAATCAGAATTAATCAGCCAACCTTCCCAACACAAGAGAATATTTTTACACTGTTCTTTTAGCCTATGCCGTTCTTTTAATACCAAAAAGAAAATAAACAGAGTGGAGTGAGAGTATTATGATGATTGATGATGACTGATGTTTATTGTTTGTAAACAAACGCTAAAGTTCTTCCTTCTTCTTCTTCTATTCTAGTTCGCTTTAGTAAAGCTGACTTGTTTCACTAACCATGTAGCCACACTATTTCATTAATATAATTTCCCCGGGCTTTTTCAAAATGCTAGCATGATGCTAGTTAGGAAATTTTCAATTTAAATGTGCTGTTTAATAATTTAAAGATATCTCAAATTTGAATTCCAGTTTCTTTCTTTCTTTTTTTTTCGAAGCATTATATAGATGGTCGAATCTTAGTTTGCATAGTAGCGAAGTATCGGCTACGAATTGACAGGCAAAGCTCTCTCAAAGTATTTAACGCTTTTTACCATACGGTTGGCATTCTGGGATATAGTAGTATGTTTTCTGTGCCTTGACGCAGTTTTGACCTAATTTTTCGAAGTATGAATGCAGTAATAACTAATAAGCTTATTGGTTACATCATTTTTAGCGAATTTCCCTGTAGGGAGGTAGCTATTACCATAGATAAAACCGCTATTACCGTAGTACTCATGGTAAGACCTGGACCCGGGACCGATTTAATTTTTCATTTTGAGGTCCCTAGAGGCCAAAAACACCATCAGTTCAAATTCATATATATATATTATAGTTAATTATAATACAATTTAATAACTAAAGGGTACAAAATGTTTAATAATTTATTTCAATTAATAATATATATATATGTCCGTTAGCGCGATAACTCGAGCAAAAATGATCCGATTTTGATGAAATTTGGTACAAACGTGTAACGTGCCTACGTTTATTCAAACGAGTTCGCGATCCAGCATAATCGGACCATGGGAACGGGCGTTTATGGGGGTTTTCCCATTTTTTACCCTAAAAACAAAAAATTTTGCAATTTCTTTTTATACAGTTTTGTAGAGCTTAAAAGAAGAAATAATTTAGTATACTAATACTGAAGCACTGTTGTATGCCTAACTGTTACGGAGAAAATTCAAAAATAGTGTAATTTAAAATTACCATGTTATTCTTAAGGAGAAAATGAAAATTGTTGTAGTTTACTTGTTTATGGATATATATTGATAAAATTTGGCAAATTTATTTATTTCATCCTATACTATTGACGTATGGTCAAAAAACACTTTTTACCTTACCCGCAGCAGCAAACCTAAGCACTCGTTAAATCTAATGATATTTAAATTGGGAATAAATATAATGTCTTATTTATGGAAATATTTTAGTAAAAATGTAATCAGACAAGATGAAATTCACTTAGTCTGCAGGTTTGCGATGGTGGGGGTATTAAGAACATAGCGTTGCGTTATAATTGTGGGAGGTAAATATTAAAGGCTTGTGTTATGCAGCTTCACAGGGGTGTAACCACGGCCACATTTAACTCCAGGCCGCGGCCTTCCAAGTAACAACATCGTAAGTAGGGTTGTAATAGCTGTTTTGTTTGGAGGTAATTGAATGGTAATTTGTGTTTTTTTTTTAGAATAAAAAAGCTTGTTTACTGGGCTATGAAAATATTTACTCCAATTTAATTCATACAAAAACGATTTTCAATTTATACATTGTTTTGGTTTTCAATTCTATATATTTTATAATATTCAATCTTTTAATAAATTTATGTTCATAAATTTAAATGAATAGTACGCGAATTAATGAGCTAGTGTCACCTGTCTGCCATTTTATCGACAACACCACTTGCAAGGGTTGCAACGTTGCCAATTCTGCCAGGCTACGGCCTGGAGTTAAAGGTGGCCGTGGGTGTAACAGCCAAAAACATGTTTATGTGTAGTAAAATGTGGACGGCCCATTTGCGAATCTGTGAGACATCTCCACATGTTAAATTTGGCTTACATATGTATCACATAAATACAGTAGGGGAAACAAAGTATACTAACTACAGTGCCCGTAGATAAAAGTTCTAGCTATGTAATCCTCAAAATATTACAAAGATTGAAGAAGTTAAGAAATGAACAAAAAAAGTTCCACCATCCCCTTTTTGAAAAATAGCTGTGAAAAAGGGCATAGTGTCTACGAACGTATAATAATAATAATATATAATATATAATAATACTCACCTAAGTGGCGTCCCCATCTTAATGATTGATAATTGATAATTGATAATTGATAAAACGTTAGTGTAGTAGAATGAATACAAATATAAATTCAAAGGAGTTGGGTATTAAATTTAATTTTTGTCACTGTTAAAACGAACTGTTTACCTGCACAGGTATTTACAATAATTTGAACAGTACCATGGGATCCCCAACAACGCAATGATTATAATGTTACAGCGCAGTTGCATGCTACGAATTTACCCCTTCCACTTCTATTCAAGGAAACAACATTATTCTATTCTTCTTCCTAAAATAAAAAAATATTTATATTTTACATTTTTACAGAACAAAGTTTGGTTATAACAGTTTTGCCTGTATTTTACTGTTTCGGTGAGTTGATTGGTTTTTAAGCTTATATAATTACGAAATTTTATTCATAATAACCTTTCTTATTACTTAAACCGATTGGATGTTTGTAATGCAAGAAATCGGGGTTTATACTTTGGACTTTGAGGTTATACTTTGCGTCATGCTTGCTTGAGTGAAACTGTGAAGAGATGATACAAAATGGTGGTGATAACAGAATGAATTTAATTAGAATTTTTATTACTAAGCAATTTTGCATTAGCCTATTTCTTTAGAGTTAATATTCCTTAACCAATGTAGCTATGTCTATCCCTCTTCATCTCTGATAAAGGATGGAATTTCTACTGGCAATAATCTCATTTTTATCGTCTTTCATTGTGGTGATAGCTATTGTTTGTCTGGGTGAGTAACAACCTAAACCCTGCATAGACAACATTTAAAACTCTTGAATTATTCTCCCAAGTGGAGGTGTTTTAGGGATAATCTAAGTAAAACTATGACGAAAAACGAATTGAAACTATAAAATAATCAAATGTATTTCTCAATAATGTTTTCATGACAAGGAACAATATTGGACAACAAAAAGACAGCTGATAGTAAATAAACATTCACATCATCTGTAGTATGACTATTACAAATAACAAAAGGCAGGCATTTTCAACACTTTCCCTTATTTGCATAGTCATGCCGAGAGTACATGATTTTTTTGCAGGACTTGGAAGTCTTGGTTGAGGTATAGGGTTCGTTTCATCGTCATCAAGAGTAACTTCGGCAAAGTTTGACGAGACGTAATCGTTTAGCCTTTCGGGTTGCCTTCTTTCCCGAGTCGAGTGCCGGGTTGCAGGATCGTTGGATAACTCTGCATCTTCACTATCACTGCTACTTGACGTAACATACGTAACGTGGAGCGAGTGCGACAAGCTGTGCTAACGAGCCCGCATCGCCCGGCGCATAGACAAGCTGCTGCTCTTGGCATGTCTGATCGCTATATTCGACGAATTTTGCACTCAGATCTTCACTTTCACCCATATAAAATAGCAATCGTCGGGTGAAAGTGAAGGCCTGAGTGCAAAATTCGTCGAATATAGCGATCAGACATGCCAAGAGCAGCAGCTTGTCGCACTCGCTCCACGTTCTCAGGCGTCCTCACTGGCCTTGGACGGCCTGTAGGCCTACGTTTTGCAGTTGATCCTGTGATCTAAAGGTATCCACCCACAATTTGATGGTGTTTCGGGATGGGATAGGTTCCCCACGAGCCACATTAAAATGCCTCCGAAACTTATGTTGCGTACCAACAACAGAATCGCCATTTTTAAAAAACGCCTCAACGGCAAATGCGCGATGTATACTGGTCCACTGCTCCATGGCGACTGAAATGGCGTGATGCCATTATAGCATCACTTGGCCTTGAGAATGAGCCGCTCCCCACCACCCCCCTCCACTCGGCTGCCGGACTGTAGTCGCTTGAAAACCGTCAGATATTTCTGCTGCTCCCTGTATTTAATGTGTTCAATTAAAAATTCCTCTCTTGTCATCTATCTACATCTGTTTTTCATTGTAATAGGCTTTAACTTATATCGTATCCAAGTTATCCTGTAATAGTATATTACGTTACTAGTCCTGAAAATAAGTGTTTACCGGACGAGTGTGGTCGTTCCCGTGCGAGACGGTCGAGTACGGGATTACCATACGAGTCCGGTTAATACATTTTGGACAAGTTACGTACGATAGTTTACGCCATACTACTAAATCTGTACAAATCCTTACATATTACCACCAACTAAAGGACTGAAAATCACTAGTCATAACCTTTAAGAGAGGTTATTTTTTTGTTTATAACCACTCATTGTCACCCAAATACAGTGTAATCAGCTGATTGGTGTCCGGTAAAACTCATTACAGTACAGTAGTACGCAATGAAACCCCATTTGATTAAGCTGGCGGCAAACAGCTGTTTTCTGGACTAAATCCTTGTGTGGGAAGTTCGTCAAAATAGTGTAGTGTGGCTCACATTTAGAAATAAATTGTTAACTTAGGCCGTGATGCTCGTCAAGCATGACGTCACGATAGAAGACGGCAATGACGTAGGTATTTATTTATTTATTTTCCAAGGATAGATTAAAACAAGCGGCTGATCACAAACGGCAAACATTACGTCATTGCCGTCTTCTATCGTGACGTCATGCTTGACGAGCATTACGGCCTGTTTTTTTTAGTGTAGCCTTGGTTTTGCTAAAGTTTATACGATGAGTAAAAGTGTAAAAATGTTAAATTCCTGGGAATAATAAACAGTCTTTTATTGCAAGTACTCTTCTAACCTTAACTTATAAAAAAGTTCTTAAAAATTCACAAATAGAGTTAAGCTGGGTTTTCCTAGGCGCGGAGTCGGCAAGCGGAGAGAGGAACGCGGAGAGCGGAATTGAAATTAACATGGCATTCCGCTCCGGTTCTAGGAAAACAGTAACATTAAATTGCCTAAAGCCGGGTTTTCCTAGGCGCGGAGTCGGCGAGCGGAGAGCGGACTCCACTTGTCTTAGGCAATTTAATGTTACTGTTTTCCTAGAAGCGGAGCGGAATGCCATGTTAATTTCAATTCCGCTCTCCGCGTTCCTCTCTCCGCTCGCCGACTCCGCGCCTAGGAAAACCCAGCTTAAGACAAGTGGAGTCCGCTCTCCGCGTTCCTCTCTCTGCCCGCCGATTCCGCGCCTAGGAAAACCCGGCTTTAAGTAATGTTCATGGGTTGAGGGTGGGGTGGTGGGGGGGATTCTAAGTGGCGCTGATTCGGGTGTTCGCTTAACTCTGAAAAATTCCTAGAACCGGCCCTGTTGATGGGCCACTCAACTTTCTTGTCACAGTCTCCAACAATTTCTTGAAAAATGACGTCACGAGAAACTACGATATCTTTTCTCTCTGGAACATAGATTCGATATCGTTCTTCACCATCGTATCCAACCAGGTAACCTACCACAGATTTCCTGTCCATTTTCCGCCTCCTCTGAACAGGAACATGGACGTAGCACTTTGAGCTGACCACTCGCAGATGTTTGATCCTCGGCTTTTGACCAAACCAGAGCTCAAAAGGTGATTTGTTGGCAACTGCTGACTTTCCAACTCGATTCAAAACGTAGCCAGCAGTGATGACAAGTTCCGCCCAGATCGCTGCAGGAAATGTTAGCCTACATTTGGATTGGCGTACTTGAAGGTCCGGGCCATTTCGACGATTGTTCTGTTCTCTCTCTCCACTGCACCATTTTGTTCGGGTGTATACGGTGCTGTCAGACGTTGGTTAACACCATATTCTCTGAGAATTTGACGAACTTCAGCGTTGTCAAACTCACCACCGTTGTCGCTGAGAAACTCTCTGACGTGATGACCAATTGTACGTGCTTTAGCCAACACTTCACGCAACGCTTCCTTCAAAGCAGATTTTTCCCTTGCGACAAAACAGTATCGGTAACGGTACCTTGAAAAGTGGTCTTTTATGACGATCAAGTATTGGCGACCTCCGAAGGATGGGTCAAATGGGCCGCAAACACCACCGGATAACAACTCACCGGGGGCTGAGGGGCGTTCTCGTGTTTCAAAATAGTAGACGGTGTGCCTTTCCGAACTGACACGGTTCGTAGATCTCGTAGTTGGCTGGCACTTAGATACCCATTTCGGATTCGAGCTTCGATCGGACGTATCGTTTATCTATGTGACCCCAGCGCTCTTGATATAACTGCAGAATGCGATTGTCTTCTGCTGCATAAGCGCAAACCTCAGACGATTGAACTGTGTGAAATGATGCACGATACAAAGTTCCACCACAGTTTCGAGTACCTTTGAATACAGTTTGTTCGTTAATAGTGAACCGACACTCGGTATTAGTCGATTCAAACCTGCTATTAGGGTTTCGATCATGAGCTGCGTGAATGGACACTAAGTTCCGAGAAACGTCAGGAACATACCAGACATCGTTGAGTGTGAACGTTTCCAGTTTTCCATTTTCATAGATCGCTACTTCAACGACTCCACTGCCAAGAGTTTTTATAACTTCCTTTCCCGCCGCCTTTACTGTTGCGTTCGAGTTTGCAGGAAAAGGTTTGTACTCCGTGAACCAACTCAGATTTGACGTAATGTGCCGCGTAGCGCCATTATCAATCCACCACTGGTCGGGTCACGATATTCATGTCACTGCTGATGGAAATCAGTGCACTTCGGTTGTCGGTCACGTTAATTTGCAAGCCCTTTGCTCTCTTCTTATCAGTGTCACGTTTTTGAGCTAGTGCTAATGCCGTTAGCTCGAGCTGGATACGCAGGCTTGCCGTCAGCTTTCCATTTAGAACACCGGCGAATCCAATGACCTTTCCCCGAACAGTATTTGCACAAAGTGTCACCTTTTGGTTTCCTATTCTTCTGACCACCGCTGTTTGTGGCACTAAGAATGTCACCAGCTTTTGAAGTAGGAGCAACATTACGCTCATGAAGGATCAATGCAGATGAAACATCTTCAAGTTTCTTGCTCTCGTTTGCCTTCATAAGTAAGTAACTAGACTTGAACGATTCAAAAAGCTTCGGCAAAATGTGTAACACTTTTGACACAAACAGGAGCTCAAGAAAATCTTTGACTGTTTGGATGTTACGCGTTTTGAGGCCAGCTGCAAATTCGCGGTTTTGATTCTTCAATCTTGAAAGCACGGTCGGGGCATTCTCGGTATCATCCCATTCCATACTGAAGAAATTCAAACACTGACGAAACAACTGGTCTTCTGCCTTGTTATTGAACTGCTTTACCAAAATGTCCCACGCTTCCTTAGCTGATAATCTTCCGGAAATACGTTGATGTAGATCATCACTAATGTACTGAGAAATGACTATTTTTGCCTGAGTCGTGGATTTGTTGAATTTCTCTGAAGTGTTTTTATATGATTATTTCATCATCTTAAAAAAATGCCAATGGTGTGGAAACACAAATGATTAAATTTGAATTGATTCAGAGTAAGCCTATATAAAATACAAGTCCTTTGAAAGACAATAGGCTATATCACCACGAGCCAGGGTTGTCCTTTTTACAGCTTGCCAAAAAATGTTTAGAAAATTATGGTATCAGCCTACTGCTTGCCAGTACTCAACCTAAACCCGCCTGTTTAACTTATATTCAGTCACAATAATTATGTTGTGAGCATTTTTAATTATACAAAATAGATTGTCAACTAAAATATTTTGAAATTGACTTAATTAGCTTTGTAAGTTAACTTAGTTTAAGGTTGTTTGAGAATCCTACAGCTTTGCATCTTTTACGATGCACATACCTCACCTCATAGGAGTACAAGCATATGACATGGCCATTGACGTAATTGTGTGCCATCTTTGGAACCATGGCAATTCCATGCGCCAGGTTCGCTAGTATATCTGAATTATGAGCAGAATCAAGTTTTATTTACAAGTTCACTAATACAATCACTACCTCTTTATTGAAATACATAGGCCTAACATAATTAATTTTTTTATTTAACTAACAATTTCTCTGCTAGGCTCCTTGTTATCGGTTGAATTCCAAAAAATATATTTTCATTTTCAATCAAACAAGCAGTGGAAAATGAATCCAGATATAAACCAAATGTAAGTTTCAAACACAACCTTTATATTATGAAGTTTGTATCCAAATAAACACTTCAAACCACTATGATGGTTAATTCAAATGATTCAAATGATTTATTTGGCCATTCAGTTCGTACAGACAATAGGCTACATCAAACAATACAAAAAATAAAAAATAAACATGCCAAGCTTCTTCTTGCACTCTTGACTAACAAAATTAAATTAAAAGCTGACAAACAAGTAACCAATTTTGTTTGTTTCAGGGTGGTACCTTGTTTGGAAAGTGTTCCTGTCCAACTTCAGATTCGTCAGAGAACTGTTAGGGGGAATGTCTGATGCTCCCCCAGCTGAAGAGGAATCTCGTAAAACAAGAGTAAAGAGAATCCGTCGGGAGTAACTTGAGAATTTATTTATATCAGGGTTAATAGTTTTATATAAATATGAACATCCGTTGTGCAAGACCTGACGATCTTATGAACATGCAGCATTGTAATTTGTTATGTCTGCCTGAAAATTATCAGATGAAGTATTACTTCTACCACGGGTTGTCCTGGCCGCAACTCAGCTATGTGGCGGAGGACGAAAAAGGTCAGATTGTTGGTTACGTGCTCGCCAAAATGGAGGAGGATAGCGAGGACAATCCTCATGGCCATATAACCTCTTTGGCTGTCAAACGTTCTCACAGGAGGCTAGGCCTCGCACAAAAGTTGATGGATCAAGCTGCACTGGCCATGGTGGAGTGCTTCAATGCCAAGTACGTCTCACTTCACGTCCGGAAGAGCAACCGAGCTGCTCTTAATCTCTACACTAACACACTAAAGTTTGTTATATCAGAGATTGAACCCAAATACTATGCTGATGGTGAAGATGCTTACGCCATGAAGCGAGTCCTGGAAAAACCACACCCTTCACTGATGAATTCGGCAAAAGGAGAGTCTAGCGAACATGAAGAAAATAAAGGTGTTGTGTCAGAAAGACTTTAAAGTGATTGGAGCTGCAGACTATCATTCATAGAAAATTGTGTTCATAAAAATATACTGTTCAATATAAATGTATGTTAAAATGATTTTTCCAGGATTCCAAGGGGTGGCTTTAGCCCCTGTAGCCCCCCCCCCCCCCCTCTTTGAACCGCCACTGAACTTATACTTTCATTTAAAGTACGGTATTATCATAGATGAACTTGGTTTGGACTATTGTAGTCTAGTCATGGGTCTTATTTCAAGGTGTTCAGAAAAGAAGGAGCCAACTGTAAGTTGGCTGTCTAAAGGAACAACTGATATTGGTAATAAAGCTACATAGGATCTTACCTTTAAAGCTACCTATTTCACACTCGTCTTTCATTCATATCTAATTTGATTAAGATACGCGGAGTTGCGGCCCCATACGGTACCTAGTTATTTGGCGTTTTTACCCATTCTTGACACATATGATTACATAAAAATAATCTAAAATGTGTAAACGGAAATAATGTAAAATAATTAAAATTGAGATCTCCGTTGAGATAAATAAATAGATGTGGTTGCAATAATACAGAAAATGACAAATATTTATAACCATTTAATTAAAACATTAATACATCAATTAAATTCTGTGTATTTAATCAAATAACTGTAAATTATTGATTGAAAATACATCAGTATTTATTTACAGTTTTCAACTTAATAAGATGAAAAAACACTAAATTTGGCTGGTAAATTTTACTACTGTATTAGCTTTTATATTCATAAACCCAGAAAGTTACACAAGTTGTAGTACTTTCTCTGTGAATGTTTGGACTTTTCTAAGCATCCATAAAGTTCATTGACCTTTAAACAGTCCGTCTTACTCATCATCTTCCGCTGTCCCAACTTTGCTCCTGGATATTTTGCAGTGATTGTTGGCTTTCCTTTGCCTTTACTGAAACAAGAATTTTCATCATATATCATTTGTATATATACAAAATACTATTATTTGTATGTTTCTCTCGTACTGTGGACATTGATAGTATCACAGGGTTTTCTTGTCAGTTTTCATCGACTTGGGTTTGAGTACTTGTTTATGGCTACTTACGTAGGAGCCACGTTGTGCCCCCCCCCCCCTAACATAAAAAATAGTTAATTTTTTTTCAATTCTATGTTGTTTCATCTGCCAAATGTGCCAAACAATACGTCACTCATCACATCAATTGTTCGATTGTTATGTATAAACAGCTGACCAACAATAAAAATCCAAATAAAAATACATTTCTTCTACTTTCTTAAATGGTCCCTTGCAAGTTATTTATACAAAGTTTTATGGGGGTATTCCAGATCCCCTGGTAGTGCCCCCCACCCCCCAAAGCCATGACACCTCTGGCTACTTATCTCGACCTTGTCGTAAAAGTGTTCAAATATACAAACTAGTGCCAGTGTTTTCATTTTAAGGTTGTAAAGGTGTTACCAGCTTTTGTTTTAGTAAAAAGGTATGTTCAAAAACTAAGAAGCACATCTACTAACCTAAGAAGTACCTAGTAACTGTCACAATGGAAAATAACCACAGCAAAATTAGTTAATTAAAAAAACCATTTTAAAATCTGATAGGGGAACTTGAGTGAGTTTTTATCTTAAAGTCATATAAAATACGTGAAGGCGATTTTTACGAAACACTACTCCCCCGTTAATAATGGACGGATTTTTACAAACGATGTGTCAAAATTAAGTATTATTTTTGTTGATGTCCCCTTTCACCTGTAATATAATTCCTGTGATAAAAGTCCTCGGGCTTTACCCCACGGGCCATCAAAATCCCAATGTATTTCTTATGAAGAAAAGATTTTGTTTACTTAAACAGACGAATAATTTGTATTAATTGCATATTAAGAAACAGCTGTTCATAGTAAACACATAATACACACAAGAGCGTTCGTTTTCAGTTTCGATAACTGGAGTGGAGCGATTGATTACATTATGTTTGAGTTGACTCTTTTAAGTCATCGGAAATTATGACCCTTATTCATTTTGAAATAACGCCTGTAATAGTTTGCAATTGCTCAAATTCGAGCAACAGGTGCACTAGTCTTCAAAAATATTTGTCTTAACTGTTAACAATCATATACTTTCTGATGTAGATAATTAAAAATTCAGCTATCTACAAAATCAGAATAGATAAAATACATTAAATACATTAAAAATACATTAAAATTACATTTAAAAAAACATTTAAAAAAATACATTAAAAATACATTAAAATACATTAAATAAAGTACATTTCATCACCGAGTGTAAAATGAAGAGTTTCACTACGGAAAAAAACCTCAGTCGGAAAATGAATGAGGATTGAAAAGACACGTTTTGCTGGTGTGATGAACTGTATGTTTTTTTTTACCATTATTTAAGCAAACTAAGTTACAAAACAAAAATACTATTCATTTAAAGATATCCTCTCAAAACAACTCTTAACTTTCGATAATTTTTCTAATGCAAACAAGCAGCTGTTTAGTAAATGATTCAATAATTTTGTCTATTACGATTATGTTAGTGTACGTTGTTACTATCAATATGTTAAACTGTTGACAGGAATGCTACAATAAGCAACAACCGATTCAAACATTTGCTAGATGCGATTGCTTACAATCATAGTTAACAATCAAGATTCAAAATGCTGATTTTTACTCCATAGAAAGTTAAAAAGGTGTTTCACCATAGACAAATAGAATAAATATAGACTGTCAAAGGAAGCTTCCGGCGCCCACCGCTAGGAGTGCCGTGTAGTTATGGCTCACACCGTTGCAGGCAAGGAGTGCAGGAGCCGTATGCTACCAGCAGACGCTGCAGCAGTGTGCGCCGTAACTACACGATACTCCTAGCGGTGGGCGCTAGGATATGCTAACCGCAGCACTGCTGCCGGTCTGTTCATTCTAATTTGTCTATGGTTTCACTTCCTAGGGACAAAATGAGACTCTTAATGCATGGATTAAAAATTGATGTATTTTCTTTACTAAAAATATCTAATGAGGATTTACCTTACAAATGTTAAGTGTTAAGTTTTATAATATATTTTTATACTCACCTGAAGAAGTATCTTCCATAGTGCATAATGCTGTCGTAATCATATTCAAACTTATAAGTTGTGTTATCCAAACTTTGTTTGTCAAAGTTTGATTGGAATCCTGAAAATTAATTACTCGACTTAAAATCCTTACATTTTTCAACCTTCTAAAAATTAAATTTTAGAACAGAATGTTAATTTTACTAACAGGAAAAACTAAAGCGGCCCACACACTTATGTGCACGTGTGACGTGCAAACAGCACGAGGCACATTGCCTATTACCTGTTGTTGAATTGTAACTGCATTTTTGTCACTATTTTATTAATTAGGCTAATTTGGAATAATGAGACAATAACAAATATATAACAAAGAAAAGTCCGGGTATTTGTAGTAAACATCAAATAAAACTTTGTTTTCGTTGGTAATTTCCAAGTTTTCTAATAAATAGTCCACAATGTAATATTATTGAATTTAACCTTGATTTATTGCTCGATTTATCGCGCTAACGGACACATGTGTGTGTTTGTGTGTATATATATATGAATTTGAACGGATGGTGTTTTTGGCCTCTGTAGACCTCAAAACGAAAAAGAAAATCAGTCCCGGGGCCAGGTCTTACCATGAAACCTTTGGTAAAAGCTTATTCCCTGTATGGGAAATTCGCTTAACATTACAATAACATTTTCTCAGTTTATAGGAATACCTAGTTATTCTTTCTTTGAGAGGGTCTTGGGTAAGGATACTCATGAATGGTAAAAAAATAAATATAAAGCTTACCAGGAACAACATTGTCCAGATGTATTTTCACAAACTTATCTCTGTCGGCCCTCGATTGTTCATGGAAAAGTCCGAGAGCATGTAAAAGCTCGTGAATAGCTCGTCCTTCACTGCCGAGGCAGTTGGGGCCCTTCTCATCTGGGGCCTGGAGGGACACAATCTGAGCCCCTCCAAACCTGCCCACGTACGACCAGCATCTATAAATGAGGAGGTTTGGACAAAGAAAGTTAAGATAATCCTCAACACTTGAATGGTGAACACACTACCTGTACGCAACAAGATAGGGATCACCATCAATTCAAGACAACTTCCCTCCTTGTTGTAGAAATCCAAGCATGTTTTGATATGTTTTATGTCTAGACTCTACTGCTAACTTAACAGAATGGAAGAAAAGGATTGATACAATAGAACCCCTCGTGTCCGACCTTGTGATGTCCGGATGTTCTACTTGTTTACTGTCTGGGGCGATAACGCCGAGCGTGATCGGTTAACTGAAAAGCCGATCGCAGATGTTGACGTAATCGCGGCAGACGATCACCACTGTCGCTGATAAAGGGTGTTGCAGCCATTGCAAGATACAGTTACAGAAGTCGTGGAGACTGCAAGTTATGGTCACAGGTGGTGTTGCGGTCATGAGAGACGATTTCCAAAGTAGCGGAGACTGCAAGTTAATGCTCACGGGTGTTACCGCTGTTGTGAGAGACGATTACTGATGTCACGGAAACTGCAGGTTATACTCCTCCTGATATCCGACCTTGGCCCGGTCCCGTCATGGTCGGATATGAGGGGATGAGGGGTTCTACTGTAGTCAGCAAAAAATCAATAATGTAACTTTGCTAGACCTGTGACTTTTTACTACTTGTTCACTATTTTACTTGAATCGCCTAATTTAAAAATATTATCAGCAGATGTATGTTGCTGATAATATACAAATATTACAATGGAATAAAAACTGCTTTATGTAACTCCAAGACGGGATACTTGACCACTGCCCCTGTTTTTTTTACCCCTCCCCACTGGAGAGTATTCCACACCCCCAGTGTACCCCCCCCCCCCCCAAGGGTCATCTCAGTTACGCCTATGAGAGAAATCATCTGTGTTTTGTGTAGCTTTGTTACTGACTAAGATCAGCGGTTTCATTAGTCAGGATCATTTATTTTTTTTTAAATCCAATGATTAGGGACGGATGGGTCCAGTTCCAACCATCAAAAAGGTATAGACTTTTCTTAGGATCGATCCGGCAACCTTTTATTTGCTAGGCAAGCACT